ATAGTTGGATTGCACGTTAATGGCTATATGCTCACAATACACTAAAAATTAGGGTTGAGATATAAAAATAACAAAAGCAGACATGAGATATTAGGGCAAAGTACTGACTACTGAAAACACAATAACATGACACAACTGATAGGCACAGTACTTAAAACACAGGAACATGACAGAACTGATAACAATATTTACAAAAGTAAACAACTAGTCATGCACAACTTAGGAATGAAAGATGCAAGTTTCCCTTTTAATGAAGATGGGCCAGGTAAATAACACAAGTGACTGTTAATGACACTGGGATATATTACTCTATATGCAAAAGTTTTTAGTACATCATAGCAGCACTCAAAGAAAAGAAAGCAAAAGCACAATACTCCAGAAATATTCTTTCTCTGGGTCAATCATACTACTTGACCAACTAATCTTCATAAAATCAATTTGATCATATTTGCATTTGAGCTATAAATAGGAAGTAAAATGTGAGACATACAATCTTGTGTGTAACCATCTCAATATGCATTTTCATATTGTTTTACATTATGGCTTGTGAACAATGCAGAATTGTCTAGCAAATCTTGCATTCCTGAACTGAACACTATGCAGGCAGCAACATATCCAACCAAAACACAAAGCTACAATAAAAGGTGTCCGTGATATGTTTTAGTAGTTTGACTACACGTCACGGGTCTATGGCTAATAGAAGAAGAATAAGGCTTACCTATGGTGGCTGGATATAGAATAAGATAGGAGAAGTTGGAGGAAGAAACTTCCTTTTGATTTTATTCAATTTCCAACTTAACTTGACAGATTAATATTCTCCTATATATATTGGAGTTACAACCAAATATATAAGGAAATAATATTCTAAAAACTGCTAAACTAAACATGAAGGAAATCCTTAATAAAAAGAAAACAATATAACTAAACTAGTAAAGGAAACGATATAACTAATTTGATCTTTAGGTAGTGTGAACCAGTTGGGTAGCAGGATCTGTAATGTATCATTACACCCCTCCTGGGGATCAAGCTTGTCCTCAAGCTTGAAGCAGGTGACAACGTTCAATTGAATTCAAGTGATTCCATCGCGTGCGTTCATCTCTGTTAGATATGAACAGGCAGGTATGTGAATAGCCATGAGTTAATAGACATAAATGTGAATGAATGTGAAGAGGCATAACAGATGCTTCCATCCTGTATATATATGTAAGTGTTGTGCTAGTGTTATATACAGAAAGTGAGAATAAGAGAAAAGGGCTTCCACTCGAGTTTTCATTGTAGAATAGCTTCTCTCTTTAGTTTCCTTCATGGTATCAGAGCCAAGTTGCAGAAGAGGGTAGTGGGCTTTCGTCAGAGCAAAGAAGCGACGCCATCGAAAGAAGCGGAGCTTCCATCGAAGGTCTCACGCGCCGCCGCAATCCAGGAGCTCCGACACCACGCGCCGGCGCGTGTGCCCTATTTCGGCGACTTTTCCGGTCGCGATTTGTACCGGCAGGATCATTTTTGGAAGCCCAGTAGATCTGGAGTGGTGGTGTAGTCATCCGGCTAAGTGAAGGATAGTCATCCGGCAAGATCGTTCTTCTCCTTCTGTGTTGAACCCGAACCACAGAACCCAGTTTTGGCAGCGAAAGCATGCAGGTCTGAGAGAAAGAGGTTTGATTTTTCTATTGGAAAATACGTAATATATATTTGCACTAGAGCTTATATATTATGGCAAAAAGTAAGTCCATTGCTGAATGGAAATTTTTGGTTAAAATTAGTTTGGATGGAATGGGTAAAGGTGACCATTTAGATAATGATTGTCCTCCAGATAATAAGGATTGGGAAGCAGATGATAAAGCTTTATTATCACGGGTAATCAATTGTATTGATAGGAAAGTAATCTTATCAATGCAACACTGTACCACGATTAAAGAAGTGTGGGAGTTAGTATCTAAATGGTTTAGTGGGTCAAGTAATTTGAGGAAACTATATCAGTTGTCTCAAGATGTCTATCGTCCTAATAAAAAAGGTCGAGATTTAAGAGACTACTATTATGATTTCAAAAGTTTAAGTGAAGCTTTGTGTACTGCAATGCCTATTACAACTGATGTGAAGACAATGAAAGATCAACGTGATCAATTAATTGCCTTTAGCTGGATTTCTGGACTTGACAAAGAATTTGAGATTCTTAGGTCACAATTGTTGGGAAACGAGTTAGGATTGTTGGACCAAGTATTCTCCCAGATACATAATGCAACAGTAAGTATTGGTGAACCTCCTGAGAAGAGTGTTTTTATATCACAAGGGAGCAATGATGAAGGAAGTGTGTTTGTGTCGCAAGGGAAGTATACAAACGAAGGGTACAATAGTAGAGGTGGAGGTGGTCGCCATCGAGGACGTGGTGGTTATAGAAGAGGTCGCGGAGGAGGTCGTGTAGGACCAAGGGTATGTTTCAATTGTGGGGAACCAGGTCACTTCAGAAACCAATGTCCTAAACCTCCAAAACAGCAAAGATTTGCTAACACAACCTCTGGGTCTGAAGGACATTTGGTGGTTATGACAGATGAGGAGTTAGCAGCGTTCAATCAACTGAAGGTGTCTTCTTCTATGCAGTCTCCATCCCATTTCCACCCAATCAACCGTCTTCTTCTGCAACCTTTGTCCAAACAGGTAATCCTGTTGTATGTGTGTCTTCTTCATCTACACAGTGGGTTATTGACTCCGGGGCTAGTGACCATATGACATGTAATTCTAATGTTCTCTCCACATATGTTCCCTCTAACCCTGGGGCTACAGTTACTCTAGCAGATGGGTCTTCTGTTTCAGTTTTGGGTAGGGGTAGTGCTGTTGCAACCTCATCATTACCCTTGTCATCCATATTGTATCTTCCAAAGTTTCCCTTTAATTTGCTTTCTATTAGCCAAATCACACGGACTTTGTATTGTTCTGTCTCATTTTTCCCCGGTTATTGTTTATTCCAGGATCTTTTGACGAAGAAGATTATTGGTAAGGGGAAGGAAGTTGGAGGACTGTACGTATTGGAGCAATCTACATATCCATCCAAGGCCATGTTGAGTAATACCTCTCCTTTCCATCTACACTGTCGGTATGGTCACCCATCACTTTCAGTCCTAAAGAAGCTCTTTCCTGGTTTAGAATCATTGACTACTCTGCACTGTGAGTCATGTGAGTTTGCTAAGCATTGTCGGGTTTCCTACCCTCCTCGTGTCAATAATAAAGCACAATCTATATTTGAACTTGTTCACTCTGATATATGGGGTCCGTGTTGTGTCACAGGAAAAAATGGGTTTAGATACTTCGTAACATTTGTGGACGATTTCTCTAGATGTACATGGTTATATCTTATGAAATCTAGAGACAAATTGTTTACTATTTTTTGTAATTTCTGTGCTGAGGTCAAAACCCAGTTTAATAAAACTATTAAGTATGTGCGGAACAAGAGTACTTCTCCAAACCTTTTTCCACCTATATGAGCCAAAATTGAATAATTCATCAGTCCTCGTGTGCGTATACCCCTCAACAAAATGGAGTGGCAGAAAGAAAAAACCGTCATTTGTTAGAAGTAGCTCGGGCGATGTTGTTTCAAATGAAAGTACCTCAGGTTTTTTGGTTTGATGCGGTTCATACTGCCTGTTTTCTTATCAATCGGATGCCTTCCTCTGTCTTTCAAGGTCAAATTCCTTATTCTTTGGTGTATCCGACGGAACCCTTTTTTCATCTCCCGCCAAAAATATTTGGGTGTACTTGTTTTGTTCAGGATGTTCGTCCTCAACGCGGGAAACTTGATCCAAAATCACTTAAGTGTATATTCTTGGGGTACTCGCACACTCAAAAGGGTTATCGGTGTTATTCACCTGACTTGGGGCGGTATTTAGTATCAGCTGATGTTACTTTCTTTGAAAATATGGTGTTCTCTGGGGGTGTTGAATCGTCTGGGTATGGGTCTCTTCCAGATAATGACTTCCTTACATATACTATTACTATACCAATCGAGTCTGTTTCTAGGCCCCCCATTACACAGGTTTATACTCGAAGGCCGAGAGATAAAGTAGCACCGCTCCAACCGCAAGTGAATACTTCTTCCTTACCAGAATCTTCGTCAAATGATCTAGATCTTCCCATTGCCCTTCGTAAAGGTAAACGTCGTTGTCAACACCCTATTTCCTCTTTTGTGTCTTATGATCATTTGCCAATATCATCTTGCACCTTGGTATCACGTTTGGATTCTGTGTCAGTTCCAAATACTTTGAGTCAGGCTCTAGCTCATGATGGGTGGAGACGTGCAATGGAGGAGGAGATGGTTGCCCTAAAGGACAATCATACTTGGGATTTAGTACCCCTCCCGACCGGTAAGCCTGTAGTTGGTTGCAAGTGGGTTTATGTTGTGAAAGTGAATCCTGATGGGTCTGTGGCTAGACTTAAAGCTCGTCTAGTAGCAAAGGGGTATACACAGACTTATGGTGTTGATTACACAGAAACCTTCCTCCTGTAGCCAAGCTAGCTTCGGTTCGTATCTTTATTTCCTTGGCTGCTTCTAATCATTGGCCTTTGTATCAGTTAGATGTCAAAAACGCATTCTTGCATGGTGAATTGGTTGAGGAAGTTTACATGGAGCAACCCCCTGAGTTTGTTGCTCAGGGGGAGTCTGGGAAAGTATGTAAACTGAAAAAGTCTCTATATGGCCTGAAGCAATCTCCACGAACTTGGTTTGGGAGGTTTAGTAGTGTGATTATTGAGTTTGGTATGCAGAGGAGTATGTGTGATCATACTGTCTTTTTCAAGCATACTAACGTTGGTTGTATTCTCTTGATTGTTTATGTTGATGATATAGTAATCACAGGAAGTGATGCAGGAGGGATTGAAGCTCTTAAATCTTTCTTCAAGGAAAATTTTCATACGAAAGATTTGGGAGTGTTGAAGTATTTTCTAGGAATCGAAGTTGCTCGTTCTCGGAAAGGAATATTTCATTCTCAAAGGAAATACGTGCTAGACTTACTTGATGATACTGGGTTGTTGGTGTTGAAAACTAAAGAGTTAGGTTTATCTATAGGGTTGTGTCTGTTTATGAATAGGTGTCAGTTATGGGTAGTTACTGGTAGTTATTTACAGTTATGTCTTTGTGTATATATATGTATTGTGTTTCTGTATTAGAAACAGAGAGAATACAATTATAATTTCAGTCTTATATTCATTTCATAGTCTTGATTCTTCATATTGCTTCCGCCTAACTAGTGGGTGGTATTATTCTCCACCCGCCAGGCCATTCCTTCTTCCAAATTCAACAGCTGGGATCAAAACCATGCGAGACACCTATGGAGCATGGTGTTAGACTCGTAGCTGGTGAGAGGGAGGCCCTTGACTCTCCCGAGAGATATAGGAAGTTGGTGGGGAAATTGAACTATCTCACCATTACACGTCCAGATATTGCTTTTCCAGTAAGTGTGGTAAGTCAGTTCATGCAAACACCTACGCAAACTCATTGGGAAGTAGTAGTTCGAATTTTAAAATATCTCAAGAATGCACCCGGGAAAGGTATTCTATATGCTGATCGTGGACATATGAGAGTTGAGGCATTTTCTGATGCTGATTGGGCAGGCTCATTGAGTGACAGGAGGTCTACAACAGGGTATTGTGTGTTTGTAGGAGGTAATTTGGTTTCTTGGAAAAGCAAGAAACAAACTGTTGTGGCTCGGTCAAGTGCAGAATCTGAATATAGGGCAATGACTCATGTGACATGTGAGATAACTTGGGTACACAATATTTTGAGAGAGGTTGGTGTGGATGTAATGAAGCCCATTCGTCTATGGTGTGATAATCAAGCGGCTATACACATTTCGAATAATCCAGTGTTCCATGAGCGGACAAAGCATATTGAGGTAGATTGTCATTTCGTGCGTGAAAAGGCTCAACAAGGACTGATTTCTATGGCTCATGTGTGTAGTGGCAATCAACTAGCTGATTTGTTCACTAAAGGGCTCAGCAGGGACAGGGTTATATATATTTGTAACAAGCTGGGCATGATTAATATCTATGCTCCAGCTTGAGGGGGAGTGTTAGATATGAACAGGCAGGTATGTGAATAGCCATGAGTTAATAGACATAAATGTAAATGAATGTGAAGAGGCATAACAGATGCTTCCATCCTGTATATATATGTAAGTGTTGTGCTAGTGTTATATACAGAAAGTGAGAATAAGAGAAAAGGGCTTCCACTCCAGTTTTCATTGTAGAATAGCTTCTCTCTTTAGTTTCCTTCAATCTCCGTGGATGCAAGCCAAGCAGGGGGTTCTTCACCATCCTCTAATGTCCACAACATAAAAAGGTGACGGCATTTATGGCCTAGAAAAAATCGCTTATCACAATTATAACACAATTTTTTGGCATCCCTCTCGGCCTTTTCCACTGGGGATAAGAATTTATACGGAGGTCAAGGTGATTTGGTGTGGTTGATTGGTTGTTGTGGGGTTAGTGAGACACGGGCAGAGGGAAGGGGTGCGGCAGGGTGTGGGTCATTATTTGCCGTTTTGGCAGGTAAAAGGCCTAAGATGTGACATTTCCGATAGAAGTCACGGGCTGTATTAATGGCTTCGTTTAGAGAACTAGGCTTGGTCCTTTCTACATCAATCCGAAGTACCTCGTCCAGACCACCGGTAAAAAGATCAACCCGTTGGGCTGGGAGTACTGTGCCTGCACGTGCATGGTGAGCTCAAAACTCCTTGACATAATCATCAACATGTCTGCCGGTCTGAAAGAGCAGCTTCAGTTCACCTAGTGGATTAATGCTTCGAGGTGGCCCAAAACTCAAAACAACGCTCTTCCTTAAACGATGCCCAGGAAGCAAATGGTGACATCGCAATTTCAGAATGGTACCACAGTTGGGCCTCGCCAGTCATGTGGTGTGCTGCCAGAGGAACACGTTCATGGTCTGGTGTGTCAGCATGGCGAAACGAAGACTCACAACGAAGTAGCCAAACCATAGGGTCTTCCTCGCCTGAAAACAAAGGGAATTCGACCTTGGGATACCTGGAAAAACGATAGGAGTGATCCCCTACGTCTGCCACAGTAGATATCCCTTCGGTTTGAAGGGCAGAAACAGAGTTCTCCTCCTGGACAGGTTGTTTACCATGGCTGGTGAGTAGCTATTGGACCAGTTTCTCCAATCTGGCAAGAGAAGCTGCCTGGGTGTGAGAGGATGCGGATAAGGAGGTGATAGTAGTTGTCAAATTTTCAATTTTGTCATGCTGTAATTCCAAAGCTTTGACAGATTTCTGCAAAGCTTTGATAGCTGATTCGATGTTCAAATCAATACCCATGACGCCGGCAACGGAACCAAATGATATGTTTTAGTAGTTTGACTACACGTCACGGGTCTATGACTAATAGAAGAAGAAGAAGGTTTACCTATGGTGGCTGGATATAGAATAAGATAGGAGAAGTTGGAGGAAGAAACTTCCTTTTGATTTTATTCAATTTCCAACTTAACTTGACATATTAATATTCTCCTATATATTGGAGTTACAACCAAAGATATAAAGAAATAATATTCTAAAAACTGCTAAACTAAATATGAAGGAAATCCTTAATGAAAAGGAAACAATATCACTAAACTAGTACAGGAAACAATATAACTAATTTGATCTTTAGGTAGTGTGAACCAGTTGGGTAGCAGGATCTGTAATGTATCAGTCCGACTCAATAATAGTTATACATTGTTCTGATATTTGATGCATTCGTTGGTCAAAAATACTACTGCAAAAGGGCGCAAATCTCACAGATCAGCGCCCTCGATTTAAGCAATCTGATTTATTCTCTTTACTTTTTTATCTCAATTACTATTATTTCTGAATTTCTTTATAGTTGGTAATTATCTTTCCTTCCTTAGTTAATTATGTTGGTAGTCCTTAAATAGGATAGCAATATATGATTGAAAGACAAGTTGGAAATTGAATAAAGTCAAAAGGAAGTTTCTTCCTCCAACTTCTCCCCAACTCTCTCTTCTCTCATTCTGTTTTTCCCTTCTTCACGATTGGGAAGAACAGAACCAATCGTTCAAACTCTATCTCTCATAGGCCCATAACGAGAAGTATATCTCGTGAACATATCAATTTGGTTCCCGTTGCCGGCGTTATGGGCAGTAACATCACTGAGGATCCTGCTTTCAAGGCACTGCAGAAATCTATTCGCTCCCATGAAGCTTATGTTGACAAAATTGAGAACCTCTCTGCCACTGTGTCTTCCCTTTCTGCAACACAACACCAACAACAGCTTCCCTTGCTAATCTGGAAAAAATGGTGAAACAACTTTTAATTGCTCAGGGGATTCTACTATCCAGGAAACACCGGATGACAATCACTCCCTCATTAGATATGCTAAAATGGACATTCCATTGTTCTCTGGGGATGAAGATCAACTTGTATGGCTGCTACGTTGTGAATCCTATTTCCAAAATGCCAACATTCAGGATTCGGATCGAATAAATTTTGCCTCAAACCATATGGTTGGAGAAGCCCAATTATGGTACCATTCTGAAACAGAGTTGATGCAGTTCTCCTCATGGGCTGCCTTCAAAAAAGAGTGTTGTCTAAGCTTCGGGCCACCACGCAGCATTAATGCCTTAGGTGAACTTAAACAGCTGTTTCAAGCAGGACGACATATCGACGAGTATGTCAAAGAATTTTGCACGTTGTTAGTGAGGGCAGGTACAGTACAACCCAACCAGCGAGTAGATCTGTTTACCGGCGGATTAGATGAAATAATCCGTATAGACGTGGAGCGCACAAAATCAACAACACTGAATGAAGCCATCAACATAGCCAAGGATTTTTCCCGCAAGTGCCACTTGTTAGGCCTTTTGTCATCCAAGCCTGCCCCTCCACAAGCCAGTACACAAAATGCCCCGTCATCCGTCTGTGTTCCATTACCCATACGTCCATCACTCAACTCGCAACAACCCAAATTTAAATTCCTCACACCCGAACAAAAGGTCGAGCGCATGGCCAAAAACTTATGCTACAATTGTGATGAAAAATTCTTTCCGGGTCATAAATGCCACAACCTTTTTATGTTGTGGACATTAGAGGATGGTGAAGAACCGCCTGGTGGGCTTGCATCCAGGGAGGACTTCCCTAAATTTAGCTTGGACACACGCGATGGTATCACCTGAATTCAACCTGAACACTGTCACTTGCTTCAAGCTTGAGGACAAGCTTGATCTCCAGGACGGGGGTGATGATGCATTCGTTGGTCAACAATACTACTGCAAAAGGGCGCAAATCTCACAGATCAGCGCCCTCGATTTAAGCAATCTGATTTATTCTCTTTACTTTTTTATCTCAATTAGTATTATTTCTGAATTTCTTTATAGTTGGTAATTATCTTTCCTTCCTTAGTTAATTATGTTGGTAGTCCTTAAATAGGATAACAATATATGATTGAAAGACAAGTTGGAAATTGAATAAAGTCAAAAGGAAGTTTCTTCCTCCAACTTCTCCCCCACTCTCTCTTCTCTCATTCTGTTTTTCCCTTCTTCACGATTGGGAAGAACAGAACCAATCGTTCAAACTCTATCTCTCATAGGCCCATAACGAGAAGTATATCTCGTGAAGATATCAATATTCCAGCTAACCTGCATTTAAAAGTGCATTCCACATATATTTCAATTCCACTTAGTTTACTTCAATTTTATTAATGAAACACCCAAGTCCAATGGCATTGAATTTCTATGAATGATTGCAAGAGCTTTCCTCTTTTTCATTTTCACAATTTTTGACAAGTCTAATTTTGATGTGATTACTCAAGAAGACAACAGAATAGTACATTTAGTTCTTTTCTGACCCAATCCCTGAATCAAATCAACTTCACAACCCACACTGAAGAATATTGTAGTTTTTTTCTTTTCACACATTAAGCAGAAGGGCAGAATTTTCACAATCTGAGCTGTTCTAGGTCAACTCTTGATGGAAAATCCACTGAATTTCTTACTAAATTCATAATTGGCAGGTCCAAACTCTCATCTGACACATGGATCCACATCATTTCCCATAATTGATTTAATTAGCCTAAGATACAGATAGCATAAAACCACCGTTAAAAGGGAGGAGCTACCCTCCTACGTCTAACCCCCATTGGCTGATATAAAACATGATGCTTCTACTAAACAAAATATTCTTCAAATCAGGAAGGTAAATGTGTGATGTGTGATGTGTGATGTGTGATGTGTGATGTGTGATGTGTGATATGTTCTGTCTTTCACCTTTTTAGTGCTGCAAAATATCGCTCCTTTCTTTGTTTCAAAAAATAAGTGGGCAAATTATTTAATGAGTCTGTTCGGGCTGAAAAAGGTACATTGTGTTTGGACTAAAATTGATCATACTAATCAATAGAGTTTTATGAGGCTCATATCGCCATGTGAGCCTAGGCTCATTGCTCATAGTATACCAATTGTTCAAAGTGCATATTCTTTGAAGTTTGTGCACCAAGACTGCTATACAAACACAAGGTTATTCAAGATAAAGAGATATATAAAGTAAAAACTTGCCTGTGAAACTTCTGAAATATACCCCATAAGTAAACTACTTGGCTCCCAAAGGAATGCAACAGAGAAAGTAGCTCATCCTTAGATAGAGAATTCAAAACTTCTTCATTTTGAAACTTGGATACACCCAACCATTTCTGTTAGCAGAAAATTAGCATAGTCATAGTGAGGACTGAGGAGAAATAAGGCAAGATGTCAGAAAAGAGGATAAGTTGCAATCACTAAAACGGAGGAAAGAACCTCAGAAACATTCTGAATGTTGATAGGCACTTCTACTGAACTTTCAACATTATCTGCTGCACTAGGACAGAAACTGAATGATTCATTATCCTCAAGCATAGAAGGAAAATCATTCATATCAAGATCTTGATTAATAGCCTTGCTGATATTTTGTAGTTCTTCAAGAAGTATGTCACGTGCAGTCAAGAACCCTTTCACAAGCAGTACCTGTTTATAAAAAATAAGCCAAGTAGAATTTCAATTAAATACCATACAGACTTCTTAAATTAAACAAAATCATCATGACAGAGAACATAATTAAATTAAGAGTCATTTCTATCATATTTATAGGGTATTAGGGTACAATCTGATGCAGGCCATACTCAGTGCACACATTACCTATCTTGTACTCAATTTGTTCTACAACTTCATCCTTGAAGCCCGTATCAAGAATAGTTTCTAATTTGTCACTTCCACTATCAGTGCTTGCATAGCAAAACACTGTAAATCTTAGGATGGTAATGCTTTAAGAGCAATTCATACTTCATAAAATAGTCAAATGTAAACTAAACCTTTCCAGCTACTGGATACATTTTACACCAACTCCCCAAACATTCAAAAAGTCTATCTAATATCCACAGACCAAAGAGAAAGGAAGTGCAAGGGTAGAGTTTACTCAGTCTTTGGCCTCAGGTGCAGCAAAGACCTTCCACATTCTTTGTTAATATCAGAATTCAGAAACTCACAGAAGAAATGCATTAATGCACACACCTTATCAGTGACACATCAGTCTTCTCAAGTATAGTAAACCCACATGGTTGCCACAAGCTCTACCTATGAGCCTATTTGCCAAACATCTTACCCACTATATTTCTACTCCTTCCAGCATTGTGAAGAACCCTTTGCTCTTAGAATCTCTCCCTCCCTGGAAGTTCCTTTGCTTCTCATGTGCAGAAAAAGTTATGGATCTTCACATATTATCCATCACTAAAAGTAAAATATGATACCAAATTACATGGAAAGATCTAGACTATAGTTAAGGAGCAAAATATTTGTTTGTCCATATACAAATTCAAAGATTTGTTTGTCCATATATTTGTCGTTTGGTTACAAGAGAAAAATCATAATTGCATGCATGTCGTCTTTGGATGAGTGTTTAGATAGATTCAAACTTGTATAGAGCTGTGGAGCTCCATTTTACTCCAACAGTACCTTTTAATTGAACTTTCTACTTATCAAAAAATAATAACATTGATCATTTTACAGTTTCGAACTTGTATACAGCTGTGGAGCATCCTTTTACTCCAATGGTACCTTTTAATTGAACTGTCTACTTATCAAAAAATAATAACATTCATCATTTTACAGTTTGCATATGCATTTACTATTAGCACATAAATATTAACCATATTTGAGCAAATGCAGGGCAGCTGAGGAACAGAGCAGCTATCCTATGCCTTACCATGAGAATCTATATCTTCATTTTCGTACAATTTGAATTGAAATCAGTAACCACAATAATAACAATAATATTGCAAAGCAATGACCAAACACCAAGAGCTATTCAATTTACATAAGACTACAAGAAAAATGAACCATGAAAGATAGTTAAAGATATTCAAACTTTGGCAGCACAGAATTTGAATAAGAGAACATACTTTCTTAGACTCATCGTGGTCTTCACTAGTAACATCTTCAATGAAAGAATCACTAGAAAAGCCCAAAACCAGAAATTACTTCACAATGTTATCTTTCAAAAAATTTAGTCAGCACTAGATATGCATAAATCAAGGACGCATTATTATGGTGTAACTTTTATTCCCATAGGACTATTTGATTGACCGAAAAGTGCAACAAACCTTGGTACTTCTTCTGAGGTGTCAACACTGCCTTGCAACAGGCTGATGTGTATGCTTATATCAACAAGCACAGCATGGAAAGAATCAAAATGAACTGGGCAATAAGAATGCAGTCCCAAAAGAACCTCAGGAGGAAGCCGAAATTCATGAACTGCAGCAGGACACGAGTCAAATGAGTCCTGCAAATTAAACCTGTGATGTGATAAAGTTATTAAACTGTGAAAACCCAAATCAATTTTGATTCCAGTTTAAGGTAATAGAAGACGTGTGATCCTAATAAATTAGAGAAGAATCACGGAGAAAATATTATATAATTAGCAAACTAACCCATTCTCCAAAACAGGGGCATGTAAAAGCTCAAATTTCAGAATAACAGCTGATGAAGATGGACCCTGCTAATTTAAAGGATTAATTGGTTGCCAAGATACAGCACCAAATTGTTAATAAACATTGTAGAAAATGACATGCAGAAACTATATAGCTATATTTTTATAAGCATGTAACAATCATGTCACAAAACATTTAAGCTATCATATGTACACTTCCCACCCAGCCCCCTCCTCTTCCAGTCTTCCCCACCCCCAGGTTTATTGAATCCGTTGTCCTGTCACTTCCAAGCCAAATTAGTACTTTCTTGGTCCTTGAGGAAACACGCTACATAGTTATTGGTATCTCCGATGGGTTATAGCTCATTAGAGACATGGGAAGGAATTAGGTTACAAGGGGAGAGGGGACAAATTACCTCATTTCTGGTGATGGGTAAGTTGAAACACACCATCAATGAAAGAAAGATATCCTGCCTTGCATATTTGATTCGGAAAGCTTGTGTGAAGAAACTGAGGTCAGTTTCATCAATCCTCCACATTCCACAAACATATTCAGAACCCAACTCAGGAGCTGCATCCAAACAAAGATGTTATGATGCAATCTTATTGTCCTTTTCCAACAAAATGAATTCATAAGATACCATTTATATCTGAAAGATATGTCAAAGGTGATGTCTCCTAAAGCACATGCACACATACAGGACAAGAAACAGTGCAAAGTTCATAATCATTATCTAGAACTAGTATTTTCACCCGTGCGATGCACGGAATGGATTTATTATAATATATTAAGAATATTTGAATCGATATATAATTATTTAAATTAGAACATCAAATATTATTTAGTGCAATTAAAGATATGGTTTGGATCGTTTATGTATTTTGATGTTACCAATGCTTGAATTTGTGCAAATAATTGCTCAAATTAATAGCTAATGTCTATATGTACACATGAGGTGCTATAACTTTGAAGATTTCATTTATCATTGTTTAGTATTTATCATTGTCCGTAAAATGTTTTCTTAAAATAAAAACTAAAATAAGAAGCCATTAAGCTAAGATTTCTTAAATAAGAGTTTTATTTATCATTATTTAGTATTTATCATTGTTTGTAAAATGTTTTCTTAAAAGAAAAAACTAAAATAAGAAGCCATTAAGCTAAGGCTTCTTAAATAAGAGCTCACGTTGATGGGCAAGCAATTATGTTTGGAAGAGGGGCTCCTTTTTTTTTTTTTTTAATTTTGCATTGTAGTATCTGTTCAAACATACTTTCTCAATCTAATGAAACACAAAGAGTCAACAACAGGCTCGATCTCATGACCTTCCACATGGAAGAGGTCACTACATGCCAGCTGAGCACAGTGTGCTTGGCTTATTAAATTATTACATAATAATAACAATAATAATATAAATTTTATTTTCAACATTTTTCTGCTCTGCAGCCAAACATTAAAAAGAAAAATGTTTTCTGAAAAATAACTCATTTTCCAGAAATTATTTTCCTACTTTCCAAACGAAGTTTTATATCTATACAATGAATACAATTAATTTGTTAACTTGCATAATAATAATTAGATAATCGCCTAGTTTGATTATTGACAAATTCGCCAAAATTTTAACAAATTCGCCATTTTAACATTTCGTCTTTAATCAAAACACCAAAAATATTATTTAATAACTAACTCATCAATTTTGTTGAAAACTAAAGAGTTAGGTTTATCTATAGGGTTGTGTCTGTTTATGAATATGTGTCAGTTATGGGTAGTTACTTACAGTTATGTATTTGTGTATATATATGTACTGTGTTTCTGTATTAGAAACAGAGAGAATATACCAATATAATTTCAGTTTTATATTCATTTCCTAGTCTTGATTCTTTATATTGCTTCCGCCTATGTTGTGCTCCCGGGCAAAAGCACGCGTCAAGGGGCTAGAGATTGGTGTTTTGGTTGGCACCGGTTTGCCTATGGTGGGAGAGGCGTTGAAAGCAGAAGAACATAAAAGATAAAGAGGGTTTTATGGGGTTTCCTTCTCCTTGTTTTCTTATAAATTCTGGCTTAATTCATTAGCAACACAAACCTCTCTTCTTATAGCAGAGAGTTACACTTTCCTAAATTAACAAAAGGAAACTTAGATTAAATAAGCTAATATAGAAACTAACTAAACTGATCTAGAAAAAGGAAACAAAGACTAACTAAAACATAAAAGGAAAGGAGAATCATTAAAGCTCCTTACCATAATTATTTGCTATCTCTAAAGGAACTAAATCAATTCTAATAATAAAGAACATATCAGCCTAACTGGCGGGTGGTATTATTCTTCACCCGCCATATCTTCCAAATTCAACAAATTTTACTCCAAACTGCTAAAAACAAAAACAACACATATACATTTTGGGTTAATCGTTCCTAAACCCCCCCTAATAATAAATAATAAATTAAAAAAAAAAAAAAACTAAAATAAAAAGTCATTAAACTAAGACTTCTTAAATAAGAGTCTTTTGGCTTCTTAATACTTGCTCACATTAATGGGCAAGCAATTATGTTTGTAAAATGATCCCACATCATTTACAAAGGGGAGCCATTTGTCTTCTTCTCCTTCTTCTTGTTATATTACGAATAGGAAAGTAGAAAACAATATATTTTATTAGAAAGAGAGATTTTTTAGGAATTGGGCGGAAAGTTAAAAGTTCAGAATTTTGTTTTTATATATAGTATATATTAGAATAGGAATTGTATTACACTATTTTATAATATTAGAATAGGAATTTTAACCTAGAATTATACTACGAGATTTTTTAGGAATTGGGTGGGAAGTTAAAGTTCAGGATTTTGTTTTTATATATAGTATAGATAGATAGATGTCATTGACGTCTAAAACATAAATTTCCTGAACAAAAATATGGAGTATTTTAGTTGCTAAAAGAATATCAGAGTAACAGATCTGCAACAGACCCAAACGCAACAGTTTCATGTATCCACCTTGTACTGTAAGAATGCCACTAGATTTTGTTAGTTCTTTTATATATATATATATATATATATATATATATATATATATATATATATATATATATATATATATATATATATATATTTTAGTAGCGGATTTTCACTCTAATTCAAAATTCCATTCTGAAGACAGCTTACAGCCAGCACTTACCTTGTCAACAAGGTAAGCATAATTGCATGAACAAATGAATTAGACCATCCTCATATATCTGCTAAAATGTACCCTTATGTTTGAATGCTTTGCTCAATGTGAACAACTAAGCACATCTATTGCATACCTTCATACTGAAAAACTCTTGATGGAGCTCCATAATCACCATCTTCCCATTTTGTCCTAATCTTTATTTGGTACCATCTACACATGCAACAGGTATAGAAAAGGTTACAACAAAGATATTAACAAGGGTATTCAATATCATAAAATGGCAAAAAGAAAAGTAAAGATTGGCACGGTACAAACCCCTGCTGGAATAGATCCAGATTGTGAAATCGATGAACATAAATGGCAATTTCATGTACAGCCTCCAACATCAGTTGTTGTGGCTTTCTATGCGATTTAGAGTTGCTAGACTTCAATAGTTGTGGCAGCTGCAATTGTGCCAATGATAAAATGGCACTGGCCTAGCATCAGTACTATTCAGTCCCTTTGGGTTTACAAGCGCTACTCTGTTAAAACCAGCTATATTTGTCAAAGAGGCAGTAATCTTACAGACAATTACTGTTGTTCATTGTTATTATAACAAATTGCACCCCTCTGATTTGGTTCTTTCAAATGTCCAACCAATTGGTTTGTTTTATTGCTAAGAAACCACATGATTCAAGATCACTAGAGTACAATTCAATCACTGTAAAAGGCACACACTCATCAAGTAAATAACCGGGGGAGTGTAGCTGATAGATTTGCAGGGAGATTCCTATGCGTAAAAACATGCCTAGTGAACCATTTTTCACACGAAGCATTAACATATGGTAAATGTGAAGAATGATAAGCAATTTGGCAGACTTTACAACTGCAATGGCACAAAGAGAAAAGATTTAAAGAAAAAATGAAATCCAGAAGTCAGAAGTAAACTCAATGGTAGTAAGTAACATGAAGCAAAATCAAAGCGTTATAAATTGGTCACCTACATAATGAAGGCACCGTGAGCAAGCGAAAGAGCAATTTCAATTACAACCCTCACTTCAATTATGTGCTGTGATTACACTATCCAAAATTAGCACTTACTGCCAATCCAAGAGTTCACCTGGCTATAGTTCAAGACAAATGTTTCAATTACACCCTGAAATCCAAGCTTAGCTATGCCTTCCAATTTTTTCATTATTTTCATCAAGTTAGAATACAGTCACTAGGTTTCTACCTTCTATTCCAACTTCTGTCATGAATTAGCACTATATGATCAAATCTCTAAATACAAACTTCTTTTACGAGTACTATTTAAAGTTTGAACTAAGCTGAACCAACAAGACATCCATTACTATGAACAAGGTTGCTTAGTCAAATAACAATAACAATAATAATAATTATTATTATTACGGAGTATTATTATTATTATGACAATAATAATAATCATCATCATCTACCACAGAGAGGATAAACAGGGAGAAAACGAGTTAGATCAAATTATAATTCAATGAAATGCTAAACTCGAAAATATGTTTGGTAGAGAAAGAAGTAATACAAAGATGATTGCCATAGACGTTCAAACAAGCAGGCTATAAACATTCACTGATCTCAATGGGTCCAGAGAGAAGCAAAATAATAACCTGCAATGGCGTGACTCTTTTCGATTTTCTTGTTCAGCTGCAGAATGGGACTGCAATCAACGATGGTATCGGCAGTGAAAATGAGGTAGCTCGGTTGATGTGGGAGATTACAATTACAAAATAGGTGGGCAATGCCGGTGTTAATGGCGATTACGGCAGCGATCGAGCTAACAGTTTGCACAGGACGTTGAAGGAGGAGTAGAGAGAGAAAGTTGAACAAATTAGAGATGACAAAAAAAAATAATTATATTTTTGTCCCCTAGTTTATTATTATTATTTTTTAACTGTTAAGTTATGCATGGAGTGACGTCAACCACTTTATTAAGTGATAAATTGATGATAAAAATAATTTTTGAAAATTAAAATTGTAATTTCGTGTATAATTTTGAGATTAGAAATAATTATAAACTTACACATATAACTTAAAAATTAAGTTTGTACTAGAAGAGCCGCATTAAAAAGAAAATTTTAATTTAACCCTTATTTTTGCCAATATAGAATACGAGTATATTTTTATAAGAAAATGGATAAAAACAACCATTAAATTGCACAAGAATTTGTAATTGACTTATCCAACTATAAACAACAATGCAATCGACTTTATAAGCAAGCTAAAATCATATAATTAAACTAAAATTAACATATACTTCTTAGTTCGTGCTAACGTTGTGGTTAACTCATTAAAAAATAAATTTTTTAAAATTATTTTAATAATTTTAAACAAAATAGAAATTTAAAAATAAAATAAAATATAAAGAAAAATCCAACCCCTCTCTCACCTTTGTCTCGGGGAAGGGTTGTTTTTCCCCTCTTTTTTTTTTTTTTTTTTTTTTTTAAGTTTAAAAATTAATTTTTCTTAATAGGTGCCACAACATAAGAATGGGGTTTCAAAGTTAATTTTGATTTAATGGCATAATTTTGACTTGTTCAATGAACCAATTGTATTTTTTTTAGTTGGATGATCTAATTGCATTTTCGTGTGTAGTTTAGTAACTCTTTTGACCCTTATTATTTAATATACTAGATGTAAATACACACACAACCGTGTACGGTTGAATAATGTCATGTTTAGGACTCAAGATTTATCTTGTTGCTTTATGATGTTTTCCTCTTATCGTTGTGCTTTATCTACTGCTATGATGTGTGAGTAATCCTATTTAGAACTTGAGATTGAGGTTTACATAAGATTCTAATGCCTATTTGATGTGTATTGCATATTAGGGGTAAAACTCAATCTAGGGTTCCAAATGTTATGGGAGATCCTTTGTATTCTTGTGTTAAGTTGTGGTGCACCACATTTGACACTAATCTTGTGGGAAATTCAACCGCAACGAAAGTTAGGTTGGTATTTCCAAGTCCCCACCTCACAACCCTTCTATTCTTCTAATGAAAGTAGGGATTTTAGAGATTAGATTGCTTGGGCTTTGTTGTGAGGAATGATGCATCACGACAGTCGGGCAATCCTCATCATTCAATTTAGCATAGCATAGATCACGATAGTGATATGTTAGACTCCGAATTGGTGATCGGTAATCTTGAAACCCAATATTAAGCTTATTTCCCCTTAATCTTTAGTCATGGCATCGAATCATGTGTAACCTCATTTCCAAGTCCTATTTTGTTAAACTGCTTATTTGTTTGTGTTGTTTGATATCCCCTGTCTCTAAATTGTTGCTTAGCTTCCGCTAGTTTCTTAACCCTTGTGCCTAGATATTTTCAAAACCATACATTAACTCCATCCAGTGAACAATAAAAACAAATTTCTTTTTTTGTTTTAACCCGTATCATATAGTTTAACATGTAGTATCTAAGTCAGGTTTAGGCAATATGATTGATGAGAATTCAAATTGTATTACAGTTACGATAGATCAGATTACACAAGAGTATATCGAAGACTACCTCTAAACACTCCTATCTAATAGGACACAACTTCAGACTAATTCTAGTACCACACATTAACTACCATAGGTTATACACTAATAATAACAACCAATATTAATAATACTCACACACCCCCTCAAGCGGAAGGTTAGTGAGAAACAACATTAAGCTTGTCTCGTAAAGCAGTGAACCTTGAACCTGGAAGAGGCTTGGTGAAGATATCAGTGAGCTGGTCCTTGGTTGATATGAAGTTGACCTTAAAGTCCCCTGTCGCAACTTTGTCCCGTACGAAATGATAGTCGATCTCAACATGCTTCGTTCTGGCGTGGAAGACTGGATTAGCACACAAATACGTGGCTCCTAAGTTATCACACCACAAAGTAGACGGCTGACTAGTATGCAACCCCAGCTCACGTAACAAAGAAACAACCCAAGTAACTTCTGCAGCAACATCGGCTAAGGCTTTATACTCGGCTTCTGTCGAGGAGCGGGCCACAGTCCGCTGTTTCCGGGACAACCAGGAGATAAGATTAGACCCGAGAAAAACAGCATATCCACTTGTGCTTTTCCTGTCAACTGGACACCCAGCCCAATCGGAATCGGAATAGGCATGAATAGAAGTAGTGGGTGACGCACTCAGGTGCAGGCCATAGTGTAGCTTCCCCTTAATATACTGTAGAACCCGTTTAACCATCGCCCAGTGATCAATAGTCGGAGCGTGCATGAATTGACATAGATGATTAACGGAATAGGATAAATCGGGCCGTGTAATAGTGAGATACTGTAGAGCCCCAACAATACGTCGATACTGTGTCGGATTATCAAATAGTTCACCAGACGGAGTTGCCGATTGAGTGACCGCTGCAGGCGTAGCCAGGGGTTTGCAATCCACCATCCTAACCCTAGTTAACAAATCAGTCATGTAGCGACGCTGGGACAGAACCATTCCACCAGTAGTGTCAAGAATCTAACAATTCGATGAGAATTCAAATTGTATTACATTTACGATAGATCAGATTATACAAGAGTATATCGAAGACTACCTCTAAACACTCCTATCTAATAGGACACAACTTCAGACTAATTCTAGTACCACACATTAACTACCATAGGTTATACAATAATAATAACAACCAATATTAATAATACTCACATGATTTACTAGCACAAGGTTGGAGAAGACATCCTTTGGACCAGGTTAGGCTGTGCTCCAACTAGAAATGGGTTGGAGCTAGGCCTAGTAAGTATTTTTTTTTTAAAGAAAAATATAGGTATGCTTCTTTTTGGGTCGATTTTATTTATTTGATTAAATCAATTTTGGACCTCTTATTTTAACAATTTTTTTTGAATACTACTGACTCTGTTACAATGCAGTATCTGTTCATAACTACTTTCTCAACACGCTCGAACCCACGATAGCTTTGGCGAGACGTGATTCTTATCCGAGAAATCTGCTATGCTGTCGGCGGAATTGGTGCACAGCAGGTATTACAGAGTTCGGTGCACTGCAAGATGAGCGTGTTTAGCCAACCGAATGGCTGCTATATGAGAGCTCTACATCGCCATCCCGGCATCTCCAGTATTATTTTTACGTTTTATATTCTTCGACCTAGCCTATTATTTGGGCGTGGGTCAATTCTTTTATTTATTTCTTACATCCTTTAGACCTGACCTGTTATTGGGGTTTGGGTTCGTTCGTTATTTAGATTAGTATAGGCCCATCTAAAGGGTTAAGTATGTGTTATGGTCACTTTTGGGTCATCTTTTGTAAGTCCTTTAATTTCTTTGATTAATAAAATTTATTTGAAAAAAAAAACACCAAAGTGGCATAGCTGGACGAAATAAATTTTAAATAAATTAAATGTTTTAAATAACTTTTAAAGAAATTTATTTATTATGCTAGAGACCCCTAATATTTTACCCTTTAAATAAATAAATAAATGACAGACAAAATACCGAGCCTAATGGGCCTAGCCCGCTAAGACCCGCATCCCGCTGGCCAGGCCCTAATAAAAAAATAAAAAAATACATATATATGTTACACAGCAAGGCAGCGTAATATTTTATATATTTCACACACACACACATACTTGTTCTGCCTTGCTGTGTAACACAAACACACACACACACACACTTTAAAAATGTAATTTTTTAATTTTAAAGAATGTAATTTTTTTTTAATTTTTAAATACGAAAAATTAATATTATTAGTAGACTTTACTTTTTTTTTTTAACATTGATTTAATATTAATTTTTGTTAGACTTTAAAGTTGATTTGTAAGTTCACAAATTTAATATTTGTATACTTTACTTATTTTTTTGAACTTTGAATTCAAAAAAAAAAAAAAAAAAAAGTGGGCCGGCCCTTCGGGACCGGCAAATCTAAGTCGCGGTCTTGGTGGGCCGGCCCGCAAAAGCACGCCAGAAATTAGGCACACGGGCTTGCATGTGCATCCCTTGGAAAATGACATCCCCAAAAAAAAGTGAAAGTCATTTTCCCCCAAAACATACCTATTTTCCTTTGACTAAGGCATCATTTTCCATTGACCTCATTTCCCCCTCTTGCCAAACATTGGAAACCCGAAAAATATTTTCCAGAAGTCATTTTCCGGGTTTCCAAACGCACCCTGAGTATACAATTCCAGGTGCAAATCGATATTGCTTGTGTGTCCTATAAATGGTTTAGTCCAATGGATCAAAACTTGACTTGGTATTCATCGTTATATTTAAGTGATCCTCAAATTATTAGTTATTTAGTTCAAACAAAATGTTTTTCATTTTTGTTTTATAATCTTAAAAAGGGAAAAGAGTCAAATAGACCTTCAAACTGTAGGTAAAAGAGCAATTAGGCATCAAACTGTACAAAGTTCCAATTGAACGCTTTAACTCATGAAAAGTATATATTTGACCCTTTTAAGTAGTAAACCTTCAGTCAAAATCAGTAAAACATAACATGGCATCCTCGTTCGATGATGATTTGTCTTTCTATCTATTTGTAAGCTCACATATTTGAAGAAATCTCCTTTAATTTCCCCATTAATAGATATGAAGGAGGTGAATCATGCAGACAATGGAAGAGACCAACGAAGACAAATTAAAGGAACTACAAAATAAAACTAAATATAAAAAGTTTGAGTTTTGAACTGCATACTTCACACTTGAACAACATCGATCCGATTGAAATATAACTTCTTAGTTCTTAGAAATTAAAGGCGACAGTGAAAGAGTATAGAATCACCTCAACAAATTCACCGTAAACTTGTATTAAATCAACAATGGTGCGTGTTGATGCACATAAAATTAACTACATGCAGCAAGTCACGCCAAGACCTTGTGGTCTAGTGGCACCAAGTTGCATTGCTATATGGGATGTTGTGAGTTCGAGCCTTAGTGTAGTTGGTATTGACTCTTTGTGCTTCAGTAAAGCTGGACACATATAACCTTTGCTATGAGCCATGAACAATTTTTGGTGGGGCTACGAAGGTAGAAGGAGTACCTTTGCTATGAGCCATGAACAGTTTTTGGTGGGGCTGCGAAGGTAGAAGGAGTACCTTTGCTATGAGTGTCTTCCTATTGACTTGGGCTTAGAAATTGAAAGAACCATGAACAGTTTTTGGTGGCGCTGCGAAGGTAGAAGGAGTAGAGGAATTAGATGGAGGAGTTGGGAAAACTTTGTGTGCCTAAACGTTATGGAGGTATGGGTTTTAGAAGATTACGTGAATTTAATATCGCTATGTTAGGCGAACAGGCCCGGCGTCTTGTCAATCACCCTAACTCCTTGTTGGCCAGAACATATAAAGCAAAGTATTTTGCAAACTCCAATTTCTTTGAAGCGAATATGAGCTGCAATCCCTCCTTTATTTGGAGAAGTATTCTTGAGGCTAAAACTATTCTCAAAAGATGTTGTAGATGGAGAGTGGATGATGGAGAATCCATCAATGTGTGGAGTGACCCTTGGCTGCCCAGTAATCTTTGCCCCTATGTTCAGACAACAAATTCCACTCACACAAGTAACATTAAGGTGGCTGATCTGATTGTCCCCAATGCCCCCTCATGGAATGAACCTCTCATCAACTTACTCTTTGGGCATGTTGATAGGACCACGGTCAAGAGCATCCCCCTACCCGATACAAAAACTGTAGACAAAATCATATGGACTGAAGATGACAAGGGTGCTTACACGGTTAAAAGTTGTTACAAAACACTCATGGGAAGCATGCATTCTGCCCAACCACCAATCTAGACAAAATTCTGGAATCTCAAATTACTTCCAAAAATTAAAACTTTTTTCTGGCAGCTGTGTTCCTCTTCACTGCTGACTCATGATCGCCTGAAAACAAGAAACGTCCATGTTCCAAATGTGTGTCAGTTGTGTACCTTCGAGGAGGAATCTACATTTCACCTATTTGTAAGATGCCCTCTAGCAAGAAGCTGTTGGGATATCATTATTAGAATTGATTACCACTCAAGCACTACACTTCTTGAATGGCTTGAGCTACTTTTTTCAACCAAATCTGACCATGATTTATGTGTTATTATCTCTATATGTTGGAAGATTTGGGATGCCAGAAACGAAAAGATCTGGAACCAGTCCATTCTATCGGCCCAATTTATCTGCCATTTTGTAAAAAATTATCTCTTTGAATGGCCTTCTATTAATGTCACTACTAATACTGCTAGGTCTTCAGATGAGAATATTGTGTGGTCTAGGCCCCCAGGGAATGCTTAAACTCAACATTGATGCAGCTCTTGATCATCATAATAGCAAGATGGGGTTCGACTTTATCTTCCATGATTCTGCAGGTACTCTCATCAGCGAGACGCCTCCCCTAGAACAACGTATACAAACCAGCAGAAGCAGAAGCAGTTGTGATTTGAGAGGCCTTGAAGTGGATTAAAGCTCACCATGTTGATAATCTCCAGATCGAGAGTGACTGCCAACTTGCTATCAACGACATCTTAAACTCTCACGAGTCAATTTCATATTTCGATCTTATACTTGAGATTATTAGATGCATAGCTTCTAGTTTCACTAACTTAATTTTTTTGTTCGCTAAACGGTTTGCGAACAAGGTTGCCATTGTTTAGCTAGGGGAGCCTTTTCGATGTCTGACTATATGGACTATTCTTTTGTCCCTTTCCCCTCCATTGCTCACGTTTTGAGCTTGGATCTTAATTAATAATATATCGTTCTCGTCTTCAAAAAAAAAAAATCATACTCTACGTAATTTTTATTTTTTTTAGGTGTACTTGTTACGAAATAATCGTACAAAAAGATTATTTTTGAAAAAAATAACAAGTACAAGCACGAAAGGGCTAAGGTTGTTAGTACGAGTCGTGTGATAAAAACCTTATTTGTTACCTCCCAAAGGTGTTAGGAGCCTTATCTGTTACCTCCCAAAGGTGCTAGGAGCATTGTAGCCTAGGTTTCTCAGGATAAAACGTACTACAGTTTAATGTTTGAACACTCAAACCGTTAAACCCAATGAATTAGAACACAGGATGTAGAGATGACCATGGTTCCGGTTCGAACCGTAACCGAGACTGTGCAAATCGGAACCAAACCGGAACCGTCCGTACGGTTCTGGTTCCGGTTAAGGTTTGTAAAATCTTGGAACCGGAATCGGAACCGGCGATTCCGGTTCCAAACCGAAAAAAAACAAATATTATAGTGTTTTTTTTTTTTAATTTTTCTTTTAATAATTCCGGTTAGAACCGCCGGTTCTGAACCGGAACCTTACTATAAGGTTCCGGTTCCGGTTTCACCATCCACGAAACAGGAACCGGCAGTTCCGAACCGGAACTGGAACCGTGGTCACCCGTAACAGGATGAACACAACAGGAGGTTTGAGCACTCAAATAGTAAACCCAAGAACAGTACTCCGAGCACTCAAACAGTAAACTCAAGAACAGTGAGTGGTAGTCTGGTAGCAGCCCACTCTTAGT